TTGACTCACGGTGTTGAAGTCCCAGGAGTGGCGTTCTGGTACGACTCAGGATCGTCAAGACGCAACAGTCAGTTTGATCCGTGGCGTTGGAAATCCGAGAAACAAATGTTTGGGCATGCTTCGGGGTCTTCAAACGGTTGTCTTCCAACGTGGCAGTTGCCACAGTGGAAATGAACCCTTGTAGGGGCCTATGAAGAGGGAGCTTGGAGGGAGGGTTTATGCCAATATCGCTGATGACTCTTGGCTTTACACTGGTCCTCCTCCTCCTCCTCCTGCTCCTCCTCCTCCTCCTCCATCCTCCCTCTGCTCCCATTATCCTCCTCTTCGTCATCCTCCTCTTCTGCTCCCATTCTCCTCCTCTGCCTCATCCTCCTCTTCCTCCTCCTCCTCCTCCTCCCTGCTTACTCGAGGGGTCCGAGGAGGGAGGGAGGAGAGGGGCAGCCATGGCCGTTGGGGCGAGGGGCCCCGCGCAGCACCTTGTACAGGCAGATGCCGAGCAGGGAGACGGCGTAGCCCGCCATCTCAATTGGTGCAAGAACCGCGTGGAAGGCGACCGATGATATCCGCCGACCCCGTCGGAATCGCGAGGCCGTGAGTACGACGGAGGAGGCACATCAAGGAGCAACAAAACGGCACAAGCACAGACTTGTGACGGCTCGCGCGGATCTCTTCATTAGATCTGAGCTGGACCCCCCTCCCCGGCGCGCGCGGAACGCGCCAGCGGCGGCGCCGGAGGCGCCGCCAGGGCATCCCAGCGCAGATCCAAGAAATCCACGCGGACCGCCGCAAGTTTATGTTTATGCCGCTTTCTGCTCTTCGAGGAGGGGAACGGGGGGGAGGTCGATGTGGAAGAGGAGCGAGGACAGACGCGTGCTGCCAGCCCGATAGCCTCCCGAGGCGAGCTGCAAGGCAAGACTGCAGACCGTCCTCACTATCGCGCGCGGCTTCGATTATGGAAAAGAGCACCACCGATGAGGAAAGAATGCACGCGCCCACTGCGCGAGTACAGTCAAGCTGTTGCCAGAAGGAACGAAAGCACCACAAGCGCATGGGTGCACGAGGAGGGCTAGAGTAGCAACCACAGGATGACCAAAAAAACAGCGAACCTCTTCCGAACCCCAAAGCCGTCCTTGTTTCAGCGTCTTGGGTGTAAGCCCGACGTCCAGCGCACGGCCTCAGTTGGATCCTGCGCGAGGGAGCGATGTGCCAATGATGTGAGCCCATCAGCACCTTTCTGCACCCACAATCCCAAACATTTTGCAAGCGCGGACGACATCCGTTTACGCGCTTACGGGGGGGTCCCAAAGGCGGTCGGGGAGCCGCGACCCTTGAACGCCCGTGCCCCCGCCGCCGCCGAGTCCAGCCGCAGACGCTCGCACCTTGGGGCAAACGCTGGCGTGCCTTCTCGCCACGCAGGCTCTCATCTTCCTCGCCTCACGCAGGTCTCTCGAAGCCTCCCGACGTCCCCGAAGCCCCTGGGGGGGTCCAGAAGGCCTCTGGAGGCCCCCAGGGGCCACCGAGACAACCTCTGGAGCCCCAGGAGAGCCCGGAACGCCCCAAAACCCTCGATCCTTGCCCCCCCCCCTCCTGTCCTCATCCTCCCCCCTCCTTCCCCCGGAGGGGAGCGGGCGGCGGCGCGCGGACGGCGCCCCGGAGCGCCACGGTCGCGATGTCCTTGAACACGGTGCACATCACGAAGACCATGGCCGAAGTGCGGGCGATGGTGCCGACGATGAGGACGTTGAGCACCACCTGGGGGCGGGCTGGCTTCCTCCCCCCCCCCGCGGGGGTCGAGCACCGAGGAGCGGGGTCCTCGGACGGTGCTGGCCCTGCTCGGCCCTCCTCGGAAGCCTCTGGAGGCCTCCTGGTAGGCGATCGATCCTTCATCGCGTGCCCCTGCTGCCCCTGGCGACCAGAGCGGGGGGCAGGAGCAGCAGCAGCTGCAGCAGGGGCGTGGCTCCAACGTCGATGGCCGGCCTGGAGGCCTCCGGAGGCACCCCGGGGCACCCCGGGGCACCTCTGGAGATCTCTGGGGACCTCCTCCGAAGACCTCCACCCCTGCTGCCCCCGGACGGTGTTGGCACCTGGGGGTTCTTACTCGCACTGCTGAGGACTCGGACGGATGTCCCGAGGACTCGCCACGTTCTGACTCTGTTGCCGCCCCGACGCCGGGCGTTGCGGCCCGTGGGGGTCCCGAGTATTCCCCACGTCCTGACCCGCTGCCGCCCAGTGCCGGCCGTGGCCGCCTCTGGGGGGACCGAGAAGATTCGCCAGGTTCCAGCCAAGTTCAGGAGGGGAAGAAACACACAGACACAATTCATCGCCCCTTCCCAGGAAGGTATGGGAAAGTATGGGAAGTGGGGGGGAAGACAGAAACCCAGAAAACATCTGAAAATCTGGGGCATCCTTTTTATTTGTGCGTATTTGTTGGTGTGTCCCAGGGCCCCTGCACAAATGCCGCCCATTGCCACCCGTTGCTGCCTGTGGGGGTGTCCAGAGGATGCCGTGTGGCCACTCCGCTGCCGCCCGTGGCCGCCTATGGGGGTGTCCCGAGTATTCGCCGCGCTCTGTCGGGGGGCCCTGGGACACACCAATAAATACGCAGAAGTGACAGGATTCCCCATATTTCCCCATATTTTCTGGGTTTTTGCCGTCCCCCCCACTTCCCATATCTTCCCATATGTTCCCTGGGATCGACGATGAATTGTGTCCGTGTGTGTTTTGTTGTCCCTCCTGGCTCTGGCCCGTTGCCGCCCGCTGCTGGCCGTTGCCACTTGTGGGGGGGGGGGGGGAAGCCGAGCATGCACATCTGCCCTTACAAAACGACCGCAGAAACGCTGTTGCATCACGCAGCTTACCCCAGATTTCGTAATAACAGGGAGGGGGGTCTCATTTCGGGGGGGGGTCTCTTCCAGGCTATCTTGGAGGGCCTGGGGGGGTCTGGGGACGATGTTTTGGAGGGTTCTCCAAGGGGGGGGGGTCTGAAATGGCTTGTCTTGGAGGGTCCAGACCCCCTCCCTTGTATTACGAACTCTGGAGTACCATCCACAGTGCCATAACGAATTGTTCGGGGCCAGCGCTGGCACGCAGAGGCAACGCTTCCCAATCGCACCCCTTGACGCGCCGGCGGGGCGGGCTGGGCGTTTCACCGCTTTGGATCACGAAGACTGAAATGCGCGACAGCCACGGGTGCAGGAAGGGCTCTCGCCTTGCTGCCGCGCGCCCTTTTTTTCTGTAGGTCGCAACGGTTACGAAGATGGCGCTGGAGCCGCCCAAATTCGCAAGAGCTACAAAAAAGGAGGGCGGCACCTCATTTGCATAGTGGGTTTCTAGCCTGAATGCTGGGCACAGTCGCCAAAGAAGCTTGCATCAGTTACACGGATGGAAGCCGATTCCTTTTTCAAAATGGGGCCATCGTGTGAGATTCCTTAAATCCGCCGACACTTTGTGGGTATCCAGGCGTGTGAGGTTCCTCTCGCTTCGCGGGGTGCACGTCCGAAGCACGTACAGTCCAGTCGTCACGGGGCCTCTTGGGAACTTCTTTGTGGCCTTTTGGAGGTGTCTTGGGGGCTTATTGGAACTTCTTCTGCACTGGGTTTTTTGGGGGCCTCTTAGGGCCTATTGGGACCTTTTGGTGGCGTCTTGGGCCGTTTTGGGGCGCCATTGCGGCGCGTGGCCCATTCGGAGGCTGGTCTGGGGGGCCTCTCGCGGCCGTTTTGGGGCCTCTCGCGGCCGTAATCGCCGCTGTGGACAGGTGCTGAAATGTGGAAGGTGTGGGCGTTGGTTGGCGTGACATGCTCGGCTGCCGCGCGTGCGTGCCGCTCCGTCCTGCAATCCCCAGGGCTTCTAAGCGGCCTCATGGGGGGCCCCTTGAAGCCCTCGTGGGGGTTTCTTGGAGCGTCTTTGGGACCGCTTTGGGGCCTCTTGGGGGTTCTTGTTGACGTCTTGCGCTGGCTTGGGGCGTTGTTGCGTCGTCTGGCCCCTTTCGGAAGCCATCTTGGAGGCCTCTCGCGGCCACCTTAGGGCTCTCTTGGAATCTGCTTGGGCCGTCTTGGGGGCCCTTTGGACCGTCTTGGGGACTTCTTGTGGCCGTCTCGGGGCCCTCTTGAGCAATCCTGGGGCCCCTTTGGGGGCCTCGTTGGCCGTTTTGAAGTCTTCTTGGAGGCTGATTGGGCCGCCATGGTCCTCTGGGAACCGAAAAAGGCGAGAACGCTAAAATCTGTCAAAAACTCCGCGAAGTCGCGCTAGTATCACATGATCGATACTGGGCTCCGCAGGGCCTCGAGAGGATCTCTTTTCACCTCAGGGCGCTAGAGCCAGAACGGTTGCGGTAACGTCAAATGCTGAAACATCAGTCGAGCCGTAAACCCGATCCGAAACAGCTATCGTTCCAAACGCTTGCTAAGCATATCCGAAACCTTTCGGGGGGGGAGTGTTTCTGCACTGCACTCCTTCTCGGGCCCTGGGCTTAGCCTGGGGCACATCAACTGAACAGAAACCGTCCTGGGTCATCCTAGCTCAAACAAGATCTGGCACTTTCGCCCGCGGGCCTATCTCGTTTCTCCTCCGAGGGCCAGCGCCGCGACGCCGGGCTTCACCCCCTCGCGCCCTCGAGCTCGTGCGAAAGGGCAAAAGCAAACAGGCGACGCCAGCTCTTGCAGCTGCGTCGCAAATGTGAAAAGGCGGTGCCACCGCACCCAAAGAATCATTCACTTGCGCCCTGCTCCGATGAGCAGGACCACGATCTTCTGTGCCTTGAGCTGACCGTGGTAGATCCTCAGGCGCTCCCACTCCGCTCTGAGGATCACTGCGCTCTGCGTCCAGCAGCGCGGCACGGGCACCGCCCGCGTGTGTCGGCTCGGCCGCCAGCAGCCCTCGATATCCAGCCTGTCGGTTGGCTGCTCATACTCCTCCTCAGCCGGTGGACGCGCCACCAGTCCGTTCTCGTCCTCGTCGGCCTTCGCGAGTTCTCACAAGCCCTTCAGGAACCGCAACGGCGCCTTGTATATGCGGCACAAGATCCACGTCGCCAGAAATGCGATCGCCAACGTCGAGCCGAACATCACTGTGAACATCGTCGTCCAAATCCGCTCCGCCACGGTCGAACTGCTCACCGCCACCACCGCCTGGTTGCATGGAATGACTGCCGAGCCCCGTTCATGGCGGCCGCCAGCATGACTCCGAACACCTGCGCGCGCCCTGAGGACGGTGTCCGAAGTGGAAGGAACGCCAGCAGCTTTAGGAATCTCGGCCCCTCCAGCGGCTTTGTCTGCATGTCGGCCCCGTTGACATCCGCGTGGGTCTTCGCCATCGCGATGGTCCGATCCCTGACCCTCTCCTGCACCCAGAGGCACTTCGTCTCCAGGTGGCGCACCTCGCCGCATCCGAGGCGCGATGCGATGCCCTTGGCCCCAGAGCTGTCCGCGTTGACCTGCAGCGTCACCTCGAAGCGCATCTCCAGCATCGCGCTGCGGAGCCAGATGCCCTTCGCCGATCCGCTCACGATGCCCGCGAACTCCGCCTCGGCTCTGCTCAGGGCGCGGCTGCCCTGCTGGCCGCCGCAGCCGTCGATCAGGCGCGAACCGATGAACAGGCAGACACCGTCCACGGACCTCCGACCAGGCTCTGATGCCCAGTCGCTGTCGACCTCCGCCACGATAACCTTCGGCATCCTCTGAAACTCGAAGAAGAGCTCGAACTGCGGGCGCTGCTCCAGGTAGCTGGCCAAGCGTTGAAGCAGTAGCCAATGGTGCCAAGTCGGCGCCACCATGCCCCTCACGAGGTAGCCGACGGCCTGCTGGATGTCGAAGCGGTCGTGTGCGACGTAGAGTGCGGTAGGCGCCATGCTGCGTTACGTGGTCGCGTACTCCGTGCTGAGCTCGTCGGATGACTCCCTGCAGTCCTTCCCGGTTGTCTTGGAAGACGGGGTGATCGTGCGCTTGGTGGCGTTGCTCTCGCCGATCTTCCTGCTGAGCATGGTGCTGACCCGGATCTCCACACGCTTGCGACCGCGTATGCTGCCGAAACCTTCGGGACACCACGTCACTGCGCGCTTGAGGAAGCTGCCTGACTCAACTCCTCCTTGCCTCGGGCCCCCTACCCTGGGCATCACCTTGACCTCGAAGTGACCTCTCACCAGCTCGCCCAGCCAGTCGAGCGCGTCTCTCATTCCTCCAGCCAGGAAGTCGTCACCATGAACAATCACCATCAGCAGGCGCTCCTTGAAGTAGTAGACTTGAACCGTCACCTTGATGCGGACGAGGCCTCATTTCTCCATGACCTCCATGATCCGGTTCTGAAACAGGAACGAGGCCCTCCTGGTGCCGTAGTGTGCACTCTTCAGCTGGTACACGATGCCTTCGGGCTCCTCTCCCTCGGGCGGCACCACGTAGATGTTCTCGTCGATATACGCGTGGAAGAACGCCACCGACACGTCGTAGAGAGCGAGCACGCCGTCGTAGCCGATCCCCGTGGAGTAGAGGCTCGATGCGAAGGAGACCACCAGACTGAACGCGGCCAGCGGTGGCGCGCCTGCGACAGCGTCGCCCCGTACGTCCCAGGCGAACTGCGCGGCCACGAAGCGCGACCTGACCGACTCCCTGCCGTCGTCGTCGCAGCGCTCATCGTCGACCCACTTCCCGCGGACGCGCTTGTCCTTCGCGAAGTTCTTAGGCACGCGGTCGAAGACCTGGAACTCCTCCATCTGCCTGCGCTCCTTATCTCTGCTCTGCTTCACCAAGGAAGGGTCCAGCCCCCTGCCTGACATAGCCCCGAACACGTTCTGGTAGGTCGATTCCCTGTCGAAGAGGCGGTGCTTGTTGGTGGCCATTTCGCTGTCGTAGGGAATGGCGCCGCGCGTCAGGGCCAGCACTGCGGTCGCCACGTTGACAAACAAGCCAACGATCACCTTCTGCTTCCTCCTCGGCTTCTCCGTCGCCACGGTCTGGTTCCAGTCCATCTCGATCATCCCGAGCTCCATTCCGTCCTGCTGCTCCTGTGCCGGAGGTTCCTCCTACATCGGATCCGAGGAAGCATCTGCCTCAAGCCGACGCCTGCGAGGTCGCCCGGCTTGATCTGCCTCTGGACCATGTAGGACAGCAGGTGGTGCTGGAGCCGATGCTGCTGGCGCAGGTTGCTCGTCGGCGGGCGCAGGCCGAGCTGGCTGATCTCCTCCTCCTGGGGGTGCTGCAGCTGCTGCGGAGGCGGCCGCTCGAACTGCTGCCTCCTGCTTGTCTTTCTCCTCCCTGGCCTTCAGCAGGCTCTCGATCCGATCTCTGCAGGACTCGGTGGGTGGGTGGCCAAGCCCGCAGCAGCCGTCGCAACCAGGTGCAAGTCCAATTCGATCGACGATGGCCCTCGTGATGCAGCGGCGGCGCGGGGGGGGCTGCGCCGCCTCGGGTCCTGCGCGAGTGCCCCACGGCGCGCATTCGACCTTGTTGCACAGGCTCTTGGACCATAGCCGGCCCTCAACTCGCCCGTTGATCGTCCTCGCCGTCTTCCGACCAGCAGCGGTCGCCAGGAGGTGCTCGCCCATGCGGTTGTCCTTCCCGACCCAGACGGCTTTGCCCCGGCGGATCTCCGCCTTGTGGAGGGTCACGCTCTGGATCTTATACATCACCGTCTAGCCGAAGTCGCAGATCGCCCCCCAGTACGCGCGGCCCTTCAGGCGCTGGCAGGGCGCGAGGCCATCCTCCTTCACTGGGTACCTTGACAGGAGCCATCCTGCACGCCGAACCATCCAGCCCATGATCCAGTGCTTCGAAGAGAGCGCGGTGCTGTACCTCGAGTCGGTCGATGCCCTCAGTGCGCGGAACATGCCTTCGACCATCTTGATGGCGTCCTCGATCGCCCCCTTGCTCTTGGGATCTCGCCTAGGTCCGCTGCGAGGCACTGCCTCTTCCTCTCGAGCCAGCTGCACAGCTCGGACCAAGGCTTGGATAGCGGGTCCCCCATCAGCTCCAAGAAGAACGCGGTTGAGACCCCACATGCGCATCGCCGTCGTCGTCACTGCTACGACATAACCCGCAGGCCCCTTCACGGTCATCTGCGCGCACTCGATCGCGCCCGACTGGTTCTCCAGGATGTTCAGCACCGCAAAAGGGTCGCCTTCGATGTCTCCGAGGAACAAGCAGACGATGCAGACCAGCGGGATCAGGCGGCCGGGGTCCGCTAAGCGCGCGCGAAGGCCCCCCTCACCACGGCCCACGACGCAGTACAAACACCACGTGCGGAAGGGCCAGTGCGTGAGACGATGCTGATCTCGAACCGCTCGATCTGGCACCACTGGGATCCATCTCGCCTTAGACGCCGCGGCTTCTCCAGAAACCCGCAGTAGCACTCCGTCCTCTCGCTGTCGTCGAACGCCCTCACGTCGATCTCCTTCCTGGTCCGGTTGATCCTGGCCATCGCCTGCAGCTGGCGGCGCCGGTGGAGGTGGCGGCGCTGGCGGGTCGGCGTCGGCCTCAGGCTCTGCATCTCCATCGTCAGCAGGTGCTTTGTGCGGAACAGCTCGGGCCTCAGTGTTCGGCTGCACGGGGTTGACGAGGATCGGCTCGGCGACGTTCTCGACGGGCCTCCTGATCCTGAGCCAGGACGCCCCCCCGCCCCTGCACAGCTTGATCTCGCGGCCGCCCGCGAGCAGGATGTAGGGGTCCTCGCCGAGGATCGGGACATGACCTCCCTCCGTGAGGGCGTCGGCGCTCACGATGGCGCGCTTCGCGCTCGTGACAGGGAACTCGACATGGAGAGGTACTCCGTCGCTCTCGGCTGCCACAATCCTCGCGCCCATGGACTTGACCTCGTCGCCAGTCGCCGACTCGCAAAGCGACAGCTTCTTGGGCGGGAGCATCTCGGTCACGCTCGCAAACTCCCGCGGGCAGGTGGTGAGCCCTGAGCCCGTATCAAAGAGCGCCCAATCGAACACCGCCGAGTCGCCGACCGTCACTGGCAGCGCATCGCACTGCGTCGCGGCGTACATCACGCCGATCTGCCAGTAGTACTCCTCGGGCGTCGGAATGTCAGCGTCGCACGCCACCTGGATGTTCGCGATGTGAACGGTTGCGCTCGTCGAAGGTGGACTCCGCTGCTGGTGCAACTGCATCTGGGCTAGGACTGCTGCCGCGTGAGACGCGTCGATCGCGGGGGCCAAGCTGCTCTGCGAGCCAATGCTGCCCCCCCTTTCAGCGCCGTCGTTGCCGTCGAGGCGGAAGGCTGCACCTGGGCCGCGTCCGTCAACGATGCGACCTTCCTGTCCCTCTTCTCGCCCGCCCTCCCCCTGCGGCAGTCGGCTGCGAGGTGGCCAGCCTCGCCGCAGTAGTGGCAACTGCGGGTCTCTCGGCCCTTGCCCTTGGAGTCGCCCTTCTTCCCCTTGGAGTCGCCTTTCTTTCCCTTGCCGTCCTCGCCTTTGCCCTTGCCGTATTTGCCCTTGCCTTTGCAGATTGCATCGACCTGCAAGGGGCTACGCCGTCGCCTCCAGAGCCCGCTGCTGCCCAACGTCGCTGCGATGAGCAGATCGTCTTCAGCTCCGTCTCCGGGTCGTCGTACGTGACCAAGCGCGAAGCATTCAAGCTGAGGTGGTCCGCCAGCTTCTCGTTCTTGATGCCCGACATGATCACACCCCGCCTCATGTTTTCCGAAATCATTTCGCCGCCCTGGTCCGCGCAGTCCCTGACGAACTGCTCAAACTCCGCCAAGTTCGTCATCTCGGGGTCCGCGAACTCGCATCGGATGATCCGACCGAGCACGGCCGCAAACCTGTTCGCCTCCTTCGGCGCGAACTCTCGAAGCCGGTGCCACCACGCAGCGAGCCCGTCTCCACGTGGGGCTTTCCTGACCTCGACCTTGGCCACATCCGACGTCACCGAGACCAGGATGGAGTGCAACTGTGTGTTGAGTGTGGCGTCCAGCTCGGTCTGCGCCGTCAGCACATCCGCCGCTCTCGACGCCTGGCTGAGCAAGTCCCCCAGTCGGGGGTGGACCGCGAAAATGTAGGCCTCGAAGTCGAACGACCATATATTCCACTCCGAATGCAAACCCGTGAACGTCCGCGGCTTGTTCAGCAGTCTCGTGTCCACGACCTGTCCGCTGCTCGGACTTGGTGTTGCTGCTGCGGCTGCGCCGCCGTCGCGCTCTCCAGCGCGCTGCTCGCCCATCGCCAGACGCTGCTCCGCGGCGCCCAGTCTCCGCCGCAGATTCTCGTTTTCCGCGGGCACCTCGCGGTGCCGTGTCACCTCGCCCTCCATGAGACGCACGCGCTCCGCGAGGGCCTCCATCGCCGCGGCTCCCGCCACGGCAACGTGACCGAGGATCACCAGGACACGGAGGGTGATCCTGCCTCGGCCACGCCCCGCTACCATCCGTGGAATCGCGCTAGTATCACATGATCGATACTGGGCCCCGCAGGGCCTCGAGAGGGTCTCTTTTCACCTCAGGGCGCTAGAGCTAGAACGGTTGCGGCAACGTCAAACGCTGAAACATCAGTCGAGCCTTAAACCCGATCCGAAACAACTATCGGTCCAAACGTGTGCTAAGCATATCCGAAACCTTTCGGGGGGGGAGTGTTTCTGCAATGCAAAAACCAACGGGAAATCAATGGTTTGGGCTCCTGGAGGCGCTCTTGCGAGTCCTCTTGGGGCCCCCTTGAGCCGTCGTGGGGGCCTCACGGGCCCCCTTGCGACCATCCATGGCCGTCTGTCTTGGGCCGGCTTGGGCCATCTTGGGCCATCTTGAGGCCCTCTTGGAGTTCCAAGAGGCCCCAGAGGCCCAAAAAGTCGATGTCCTATGGTTTTGTTTACAAGTTTGGGGGGCCCGAGAAAGGGGGCCACCACCTCGGTACGGCGAAGTGGCGCGACTCCAAGGGGGGGCTAGGGGGGAAGACAGAATAATGTAAAGCTACACACAACACGTAGCAAGTATTCAACGATTGAATACAAAAGATACGTTGCATTATCGCCTCTGCAGAAAACGCTGCCGCTCAGCACGTCACTTCCGGACGTGGATTGTTCCCCCCCACTATCCCCCCCAGGGACCCCGAACCAGAATTTTGACCCCCCCCCCGGCCCCGGGTGGCCCCGGACCGAACTCACCGGGGGCGGTCTGGGTTCCCTGGGCTCGCTCTCGAGCTGCACGACAGCACTTGACGCCTCCCAAGAAGCCGCTAAGACGGTCAACGAGAACCCAAAGTCGCCGAAAGGTCGTTCCAAGACGCCCAAGATGAGCTCAAAACGGCCCAAGAGGCCGCCAAGACACCCCACGAAGCGTCCACGAGGCCTCCCAAGAAGCCCCCAAGAAACCAAAATCTTGAGATTCCCTTGGGAAAACGTGCCAACCTGCCTTCACGGCGTTGAAAATCGTCCACGAGGCCCCCAAGACGGCCCACGAGGCTCCCAGGAGGCCCCAAAGTGAACCCAAAAAAACTCCAACGTGGCCCAAGAGGCGCCCTATACGGCCCAAGAGAGCTCCAAGACGGCCCCAACAAGGGCCCAAGAGAGGGACCACGAACCGCGAACTCCAGCGCTCCGCTCAACGAAGCTCTCCAGAGGACCCAAGAGGCCTCCAAGCGGCCCCAAGACGCCCCCATGAGGCACCCAAGAGGCCGCAAGGAGCCCCCAAGAGGCCCAAAAGAAGCCCCAAAACGGCCCCCAAGACCCTTCGAAACTGCCTCGAAGAGGCCCGCGAGAATCCTCGCCACGAGATCCCAACGGACATCCCAGAGCGTGCCACACACTACCCTGAACTTGACGCATTCTTGCTATTCTTCCTCGCCCCAGCTTCGGAATTCTGCCCGAGAGGTGGCAGACAACAGAACCCCCCGCCTGGTCGCCAGGAGGCCGCACGACGGCGCACCGCGCGCGCGCCCCCACGCTCGCTCTGGGAGCAGCCGCGGTTCCACCGCCGTCGCCGTCGCCGCCGCCGTCGCCACCCTCCGCCATCGCCCCCCGACCTTTCAAGAGCGGCAACATAACCGTATCCGCGCCATCGCGGTGTGGATTCTGGGGCGCGATCCCGCGGATACGCGTCGCGCGGATTGGTTACGCGCGGGGCATCCCCGGAAATGCCGCGGGTACAAATATGTTTGTCGCCCACGAGAAGGTTGTTTTACACCCTCGGCGTGCAGCGGGAAGTTGTCTCGGAGCCCACCGGGGGCCGCCAGGGAACAGATCGGGACGGACGTGGGTCCCCAAAAAATACGTTAACGGCAACGAGGCAACAGGAACGATGTCGAGCACCGTGTCATGATTCGGACAAGCCTCGTGGAATGCAGTCCTGGAAGGGCAGTAGTTTATAGAGGGGTCGGCGAATGTGGCGGAAGCCTATTGAATCGAAAGACCTGGCATCTGAAAACCCCACCAGACCTCTGGGCGCGAGTGGTTTAGAGCGCTTCATGTTCCGTTGTCTATTTTCCCCTTCGGGGAGGGTTTGATCACTGTTCCCTATTCGTAAACACCACCTCCCCCAGGCGACCGGCAGCCAGCCAGGACCGATGACAACCCTCTCCCCTCCGTCTCTGTCAAGGATCAAAATAAAATACTCTTTGGGGCAAAATCTTGGGTCTGAATCGTGGGCCCCGCGGGTTCCTTGTATTGTTTTTCAACAGGGGCAGCGGGGAGGGCTCTTATTGCCTGCTGCGCGCAAGGCCCCCACCCCTGTCTAAAAACAATACAAAATACAAGTCGCGGCTAAATCTGGATCACGCGCGGCCACCCCGCAATCACTGTCCATTCGTTTTTGACAAGTACGGCAGGGGTGCTCGCAGATTGGTTGTTGTACGCAGGCCCAGCTGATACCATGATGACCTTCCCGCTGCGCCTGTGCAGTGGCTATCAGCCAGGATGGTGGGGGGCGACATGTTTCCCGATGTGTGCTGTCACGTGCGCGGGCGCACCTGGCACTCTGCGCGTGCCCCGAACGTGGCGCACGTGGCGCGGCTGGAACATACAGCACACACGGCGCACGTGGCGCATCTGGCGCGCCATGCGTGCTTGGCACGCTTGGGCCTCAGGGGTTCCTAGCGCACCCGAAGCGCGTGGCGCGCCTGGCACGCGTGGCGCAACTCACCCCAGCGTCGCGCACATGGGGCCTGCATTGGTTTCCAGAAGCTGCCCATCCGGAGATAACCGCTGGAAATGCTGAGGCACGGGTGCTACTTATGCGTTGGGAGGGCGGGCGGAAATCAGCGAGACAAGGGTGCCTTGACCTTTACCCTACACCCCCTCCCCCCGGGTTGAGCGGGGTGGGGGTTGCGGCCACTTCGAGCCTCAAAGATGGCGTTGGCGGGGAAGCACAACCACTGGAGGGGGTGATAATTAAGGAGCTGCCCTCCTTCGATCGATCTCCTCCAAAAGGCCCATAGATGGCCCCCAAGGCTCCCAAGGGTGCCCCAAGACGGCCCTAAGATGTGCCCAAGAGACCCCACGAGGCCCCCAAGAGGCTCCCAAGAGGCCCCCAGGAGGCCCTCAAGAGACCCCAAGACGCCCGTGGGACATGAAAATACGGTAGGCGTCCTCTGACCTTGCCGCGTGCTCCTCTGCCCTTGGCTCGGGCGTGCGCTGTCAGCCTGCTCTGAAGCCGCCGTGGCAGTGAAACCCCGAGACGCCCTAAAAAGCCCCCCAGAGGCACCCAAGAGGCCCATGCGACTGCCAAAAGACCCCCAATACACGAGGACTCCAAGAAGCTCTCCGAAGAAATCTGAAGAGAGTCCAAGAAGCATCCCAGAGGCCTCTGGCCTTTTTTCTGATCGCCCTCCTCCTCCTCCTCCTCTTCCTCCTCCTCCTCCTCTTCCCTTTCATCTTCCTCATCCACCTATTCCTCGTCCTCTCCTCCATTCTTCCCATCACCCTCTCCCTACTCATCCTCCTCGATCCTCCCCCATCTTGGGACAAGACACCTTAGCATGCTCCTCCACATCCCTGATTAGGGACACTCGTCTGGGCATCGTTCCTGGATGGGCTGGTGGAGTACTTTTTGATCGCGACTGCGGCGAGGCAGAGTCGGGCGGCGTCCAGGATATTGCACACAGGCAACGACGTAAATTGGCGCAACGGAAGAGGAAGGCGAAGAGCAAAGAACAAGAACGAGCAGGAGAGACGGACAGCAGGCGAACCTCACTGCCGCTCAGAGGATCGCCGGCACCAGGAGGAACTTCTAGGCGGAAGGCTAGTGGGGTTACGCGCAGCGTCTAGGACATGAAACAACTGCGCAAATGTAGGACTTTTCCTTTTGCCCGGAAAGGGCTCGGGCCCAGGGTCCCCTCTTCCCGGAAAGGGCTCGGGCCCAGGGTTCTCTTGTAGATTGTTGACTCCCCGGGCCATGACTTGAGGTGGGCCCGTTGAATTTTCTCGGATAAATAACGAGGTCGAGGTGGGCCGGCGGATCTTTGTCTGAGGATGTCCCGAGTGAAACGCTTGTTTTGCAGAGTTTGGGGAGGCTCCAGCGAAACGCTTGGTCTCACGCCTACAGGTTGCCCAGGCAAATGTCTAACATCAATATTTGTTGAGGATCTCTCGAGCGAGACGCTTGTTTTCACGTGTCCAGGTCTTCCAGGCAGATGTCTAGCATGAGAAATTGTTGAGGATGTCTCGAGAGACGCTTGTTTTCGCGTGTCCAGGTCGCCCAGGCGGATGTCTAGCATGAGGATGTGTTGAGGATGCGTTGAGCGAAACTCTTGTTTTCACGTGTCCAGGTCGCCCTGGCGGATGTCTAGCATGAGGATGTGTTCAGGATGTCTCGAGAGAGAGAGACGCTTGTTTTCACGTGTCCAGGTCGCCCAGGCGGATGTCTAACATGAAGATGTGTTGAGAATGCCTCGAGCGAGACGCTTGCTTCCACGTGTCCAGGTCGCGCAAGCGGGTGTCTAACATGAGAATTTGTTGAGGATGTCTCGAGAGAGACGCTTGTTTTCACATGCCCAGGTCGCCCAGGCGGATGTCCAACATGAAGATATCCGGAAAATGTCTCGAGCGAACAGCTCGTTTTCGCGTGTCCGGGTCGCCCAGGCGGATGTCTAGCATGAGGATGTGCTGAGGATGTGTTGAACGAAACGCTTGGTTGCACGTATCCAGATCCCTTAGGCAGATGTCTAGCATGAAGAGGTTTTGAGAACGTTTCGAGCGAGACGCTTGGTTTCACGTGTCCAGGTCGACCAGGCGGATGACAAACATGAAGCTGTGGTGATGTCTCGAGCGAAAAGCTTGTCGCAGTAGAGTGCGTCGCAGTCCAACCCCGCCCGTCCGTGGGGCGTCCCCTGGCGCCCTGGCGCGCCCCCTGGCGCGTCCCTTGCGACGTTCAGGCGTCACGTGCCCTGGCACGTCCCCTAGACGCCACTCGGTTTCCTGGCTCGTCCTCTGTCTCATTTCCCTGCTCGTTCCGTGGCGGGCCCCTTGCAACATCCCTTGGCATGACGTCCTCTGGCCGCCCCATGGCACGCGCTTTGGCACGTTCCGTGGCAGGTCCCTGACACGTCCAGGGCACGTCCGCTGATGCGTCCCCTGACACGTCCACTGGCGCATCCCCTATTGCCCCTTGGCACATCCTGTGGCGCGTCCGTGAGCCTGCGCCCCGTGTCGTGTCGTTCCTCTTCGGAGCTGAATCGGATTCTGAGGTCGAGTTGATTGAACGTCCTCCACGTTTCCACTTCAACTAGCTCTGGGGCGGCTACTAGGTGCCCAGGCAGCTCGAGCTTAAGATCCAGATCAGTTGGGTCAGGACTCGGATGCAGAAGGGGGACTCGATCCACAACGCTATAGAGCATAATCACGGCATGGCACATCGCAGTTCAGCACGGCACAGCACAGCACCATAGCCCTTGGCACGGTACATCAAGATCGATACACTCAACATTGCAGTTGCCCGTCGCCCAGTCAGGCGCTTTGAAAACGCTGCCATGCCTCAGATGTCTGCATTCCTTTCTGGGCTCGTGGGTCGATCATGTTTTCAGTACGGAGCCCTCGCTTGAGACTTCCTCGACGCGCATGGTCAAGAAGTGCAAACATCTGCAACTGATACGCAGATGGGGGTGTCCTTCTGGCCATCGCTCGGACGTCCATTCCCTGTGTGTTTTTTCGGTTTCGTGCGTGGTTTTTTCGGCAAATGATCAAGGATGCTCCTGGATGGTCCTCGCCGAGGCAAAAAAAAAGCACACGTCCGAGCGATGCCAGACCTTTTTCACAACGGGGGCATCGCTGGACACGTCGTCAAATCCCACCAGCCCGCTGGGCAGAGGTGGTACAACATGTTCCCACTTCCCCCTTCCCAAACCCTTCTTCCCTGATCCATGGAAAGGATTACTCCAGATTTCGTAATGAAGGGAGGGGGGTCTCATTTCGGGGGGGGGGTCTCTTCCAGGCTATCTTGGAGGGCCTGGGGGGTCTGGAGACGATGTTTTGGAGGGTTCTCCCACGGGGGAGGTCTGAAATGGCTTGTCTTGGAGGGTCCAGACCCCCTCCCTTTTATTACGAAATCTGGAATATCCCTCCCCCTACCCGTTCCCTGGGTCTGGACGGGGGGGGGCGATGTGGCAAACAGCCCGTTTGGGCCCAAGATGGCAAGCCGACGTGCTTTTCCCATACAGGTCTGAGGCACCAGGTTCTCTTATAGTTGGTAAACCTGTCCCCTGGTCACCTGTTCGAAGAGGATCGGCGAATGTCCGTTCGATAAAAAACGAAATAACGCCCTCAGAATAGCCGCACCTCCTCCGCGTACAGTTGCTCACCCACACACACACATGATGTGCGCGAGTTTGCTTTTCTTGCGTGTTTTTCAATTCGATCGGTTGTGTTCCTTCCTACATGGTGCTCTTGCTGCAGCGTGGGCCTTATTTTCGGATCGGCGCTGTGCTCCCGTCATTCAGAATGGCCCTCGCGCCCCAGCGTGGGCAATTTTACAGGATCTCGCAGGTCTCGAAGGTCCCACAGGTCCCACAGGTCTCGCAGGCCCCACAAGCATCACAGGTGCCACAGGACCCACAAGTGCCGCAGATCTTCCCAGTGGTCCCCTGGGCACCACCTACCGGCCTGACAGGCTCCACAGGCCCACGGGTCCCAAAGGTGTCGCAGGCCTCGCGGGCCCGCCAGCTCCCTCCCCCCTCCCTCGCCGCAAGGGGCGGCGGGCGGCGTCGGGCTGCCAGCCGCCCCCGCGGCGGGGTCTCCCGGCACCACCGCGATGGCGCAGTTCAGCGCCAGGAGGCCGGGGCTGGCGAGCCCGCCCCAGTCCAGCGGGTCCTCGAACGCGAAGGAGAGGCCGCAGAGCAGCAGCCTCGCCCCCCCCCCCCCCAAGTCGGTTGCCGACGGCCCCGGGGCCCGGCGAGGGCCCCAGGGGCCAGGATTGGCGAAAACGACCCCTCCTCCTCCTCCTCCTCCTCCTCCTCCTCCTCCTCCTCCTCCTCCTCCTCCTCCTCCTCCTCCTCCTGTTCGCGACGCGAAGAGGCATGGCCTCCCCCTCCCTCCCCTCCTCCCTCACGGCGGGAAACATCGACCTAGAGAGTCGGCGATGCGCCTCGCCGATGTGTCGGCCATAGGCCCTCGATTGCAGAGCCGCACACTCCGCGATCGTGGGCAGGGTGGGCTCTCGTCCCCCCAATCGCCGCTCCATTGGCGATTGGGGGGTCGATGCAGCCCCCCTGTGGCGTATGCCCCCTCCTAACGGTGCCCCTGAAACCTGGGGAGTCGGACGGGTAGCAATGGGGGGTGAACTAGGGGCTGAAGAGAAGGGCCAGCCCTGTAGGGGCCCTTTAGGGCCCCTATAGGGCCCCTGCTGGCTCCAAGAGGGGCCCTAAAGGGACCCTTTAGGGCTGTTTTTCTTCATCCCTCATTACCACCCGCCCACCCGTGCATCCGCCATTAGCCCCCGCCCGAGCATCTGGGATCGACGTTTGGTGCCGTTGTGTTGCGCGCTTCGGGCATCCGGGAGCCCCTGGGGACCTGCAGGGACCACCCAGAGACCTCAGGGGGCGTATCCAGAGACCTCCTCCTCCTCCTCCTCCTCCTCCTCCCCCTCCTCCTCCCCCTCCTCCTCCTCCTCCTCCTCCTCCTCCTACTCCTCCTCCTTCCCCTGCTCCCTCCTCCTCCTCCTCCTCCGCCTCCTCCTCCTCCTCCAAGTCCTCGGGAAGGGGAAGCCTCCACTGATCTTGTTGCATGGACTTTCCCTCCCCCCCAGGACCTGAGGGAAAGACAAAGCACATGGATTAAGATCAGGCCCCAGGTGGACCTATGGATGCTATGCTTTCCTGCTCAGACCGGAACAAATGTGCACGCACGTGCACGCTCTCCGCAAGCACGGGTGCACGAACGACCGCACGCAAACGCAGGCGGGCGGAAGCGGACCACGTACATGTACAAATGTTGCCGTTCTCTGAGACGCCCCTCTCCCGGCAACCCTGTTAGCGGCGAGAAGCGGTAGAGCATGGTGACGGGGTCCAGCTTCGACCCGCACTGGCAGAGGTGTTGGATCAGCACCAGCCGGATACCTTCGCTGGCCGTGGCGGTCAGCTGGCAGAGGAGGCCCGTCAGGCTAAAGTCTAGATCCGAGCCTGCAGCCAGGGCCACGCCTGCGGAGACGAGCAGGACGATGAAAACGTGCGTCGATGTGCGCACCTCGAGGTTGAACGCAAAGGCCGCGGCAGTGGTCCACACGATATTCGCAGGCTTTATGAACAAGTTGAAGGAGACCGAGGCAAACAGAAATCCGAGGTCGCCGAAGCCGACGCCGATCCCGTACAAGATCGCTATGGGAAGGAAACCGTGGAGGTAGGTCCCCCAAGAGATGTGCCTGTCCACGTCTGGCATCACGCACTTGCGAAATCGGACAGGCAGGCAGCTGACGATGCTGAACACAACGAAGCAGCTGGCCATGTGCAGTGCGGCGAGAGTCAGCGGGTAAGGGAAACCCCCGTCGGTGAAGAGCCACTTGTTGAAGAGGACCAGGGCCACGCTGACCACCATCCTCGGGCGCGGCCTCACCGACCCCTAACAAACCGTCCCCTCCCATGACGTCACCCTCGCCTCTCGAGCTCCCCTCTGGCCGCATACATACGTTGGGACGAGGCGACGGGGACGCCACGGAAGGGGACGGTCTGCTGGGGGTCGGCTCGGCCGCCCCTGACATCCACGCGCCCGCCACCAGGATCGACATCCCGAGCTCCGATGGCGCCCCAGCTGGCAGGACGCCAACTGCACACCCTCTAGTGGACGAACGCGTCCCACCACTCGCAAAGTGCCACTCGCAAATGGCCTGGATCCGCCGCGGGGCATCTACGATGAGTTGCATCGAAGCAGGCATGTGTGTTTCGGGCGTTTGCGAGTAGGCACTCTGCGAGTGACCCTGGCCGGGCCCATCCCGGGGCCTGGGCGCCGTGCCGGCTGGCCCTGCCGGGCTCGGCGGGGACACACGCCCTCCCTCCCCCCAGAGGCGCCTGCCTCCACGGCGGGACTCCCACGGCAGGTGCGGGTCGTGACGACTTCGGCGCCGACTTCTGACGGCGCGTGGATGGATCGATCGACGGCTTCTCCATCGCCAGATCGACGGCTTCTCCATCGCCAGATCGTTGGTTCTCCATCGCCATCGATCGACGGCTTCTCCATCGATGGTTCCACCTGGAACGATCGACGGCTTCTCCATTCGCCAGCTCGTTCCACACTGGCCGCTTCGGGGCCACTGGCGGCGCTTAACCCTGAACGCCCACGGCGGGGTCGCTGCCGCGTCGGCACGACAGGAACCTGCCGCACTCGGCTGGCACGAGTGGCTGGCACGCCATGGCAGGCGCTCGCCAAGGAGTGCCTCGAAGCCGCCCCGTGCGCCGACTGACGCTTCAGGGTCTGTCGCCCAGCGCTCGCAGGTGGAGCGTCTCGTGGCCGTCCCGTGCTCCCGCTGGCACGACATTTGCTGAACGTCATGGCGTGCACTACGTCCGCCACCGCTCCGTAGGCACTGAGTGGAGCGTCCTCAAGTCCCTTCGAGTCTGTGTTGAGGATTCTAAAGCCCCTTTGAAGGACATAGGGCCCCAACTGCCAGATTTCCTGGAGGGGACCGCTTGACTTTCCCTGCGGCCCGAGCCGTATGACGGCCCAACAGGGTCCCAAAGAGGGCCCCGACTCGGCCCAACAGGGTCCCAAGACAGTCCACTATGCTCTCAAGACGGCCCTGGAGACCCCCACAAGGAGTGAAGGGAGCACTTGCGCCTTCGAGCTTCTAGACCCTCAAGATGACCCAAGCGGCCCCAAAGATCGCCCCAAGACGGCCCCAAAACCCCCAAGACCACCTCAAGACGGCCCCAGAGGCTCTCAAGACGGCCCAACAAGTCCCAACCGGGCCCCACGAGGGAGCCAAAAGGGAAAGCGAAGGGGCTGCGGGAGCACTTCCTCCACATATTGCCCCCAGGACCCATGCCCCCAAGAGCCCTCCAGAAGCGCTCAAGAGGTATCCTACAGGACTCTGGCCCACAGCCCGGACACGGTGACGGGATATGGGCCGAAGGCCGCAAGGTGTTGGTGCGCCTGGTTGTATAATGTGTCTGGAGGTGTCGGCCCAACCCGCCGAGAAAGCTCGTCTCCAAGATGGCCAGGAAAAGCCAAGATGGATTCCAAGATGGTCCCAAGATGCCTCCAAGACAGCCTAGACGCTCCAGCATTGCCTCCAAGACGGTTCCCAAAATAATCTCCGAGACTGCCCAAGACGCCTCCAGGATGGCCAGCTCGCCCTTGACGGCCCAAGAGACCTCCAAGAAGCCCCAGAAGGCATCCAAGAGGACCCACAAGAGGGCGCCACTGGCGATCCCAATGCGTTTTCAATGATTTCGGTGGTCTCGCCCTCGATGGCTTCCGACAGCCTCAGATGGACCACCAGGCCTCCAAGATGGTTCCAAGACGGCCCGAGCGGCACCCAATCGGGCCCCAAGCGGGCCCCACGAGGTCACAAAATGGCCTCCAAGCCGGCAAGGGTGGCTTCCAACCAGGCCAAGAAGCCTTGCAGGGCCTCCAAGACGGTCCAAAATGGCTCCAAGACGGCCCCAAACAAGGTTTGCACTTGGGGGTTGTCATATCTGTTCTAAGAAAGTGGGCCTGGATGTCGGTCTGGCGCCTCGGTGCTTGCCGTCGCCGTCCCGTCGCAATCTCGTCGCCGCCCGTCGTCTGGGCCTGGGCGTCGGCTTGGCGGTGCCATGATCGCCATCGCTGCCCCGTCGCAGCCTCGTCACCGCCCGTCGTCTGGGCCTGGGTGTTGGTTTGGCGGTTCCGTGCTCGCCGTCGCCGCCCCGTCGCCGCCAAATTGTGAAACGTAGGTTGCACCACACGGATTGCATAATATAGGTATACACCACAGATATTCTCGCTTCTAAGCAGAAAAATAGTCTACCCCACCCCCCGGATTATCCGTTCCGCGCTTCGTATTGCCATTTACAAATAACGTTGCCCCATCGTCCATCCGAAGCATGAATTCGCACCATCCCAACCGAGCCCGCATCCGCCCCCCTTGCCATCCTCTGCAAAAAACTATGCGCGCGCACTCGCATATCAAAAAACATCGGTTTTCAAAGAAACCCTTCGAAAATGAAACGACGTGCACACGCGCGCATTGTGGCGCGCGCGTGCCGAAATCCGTTAAAAAAACAGTTTCGTAAAGATTTCAAAATCGAGTGTCCAAGGAAAACAAAAAAAAAAAAAAAAAAAAAAAAAAAAAAAAAAAAAACGTGTCGTAACGCTGATATTCAAATAACAAATTGCGCGCGCGCTCTTGCGAACGCTTAAAAAAGCCATGGCTTTTGTTTCGCAACATGCTCATAACGTGCTACCAAGGTCGCTTCGGGCGCGCATGTCGAAATCGTTCGGAAGCCGTTGCGCGCGTGCTGTCGCGAAAACCTTGTTTTGCAACGAATGGGACGAAGTGCGCACGCGCGTTGTCGCGCGTGCATGCCGAGATCCGTATCAGCCTCTTGCTTCGTAACGGTATCAAAACCGAGTGTCCAAAAATGGTATAAAACATACGGTTTCGCAACATCAGTTTCCAAAAGAACGTTCACGGAATTTTGCCACACGGGCCTCTGGCTCCGCATGCCGACATCATTCGCACGCTCTTTCGAGCGTGCTGGTGGGGGCACGATCCGTGTCCAAGAATAACATGCGGGCCACTTTCGCGCGTCGGCCGCGCGCGCATGTCGAATGTGTTACAAAACCTTCATCACCGACGCGAAGCCGCCGTCATCGTCGTCGGCGTGATCAGCCTCGGCGCCCGCACTGGCCGCGCCGTCGTCGTTGTCGGCATCGCCACCAGCATCGCTACAATCATCATCGTGTCTACCGTTGTCGACTTTGCCGTGATACCGCGCCCGCCCAACTCACTGACACTGAAGCGCCCGCTGGGATGTGCCCAGCGGTCACCGGCACCGCGGCCGCGTCGGTCGCGCCAAACTAGCTGGCCGCTGAGCGCGCGTGTTTGGGTTTGCGCGGCCGCAAATGGACCAGCAAACGTCAAGCACCCAACGCAATCGCCACCGCATGGGTTTTGCAAACCCGGTTGCGGCTGGGTGGGTGGGATGATTGCTCGAACAGCGGAACTGGTCAGGCGCAGTGCAGGGTAGCCAATTGCACCGCATTGAATGCACAACATAGGTTGCAACACGCGGACTGCACCAACCCGATTGCACCATCAATATTGGCAACGAAGATTCTCTTTTCTAGCAAAAATGGTCTACCACCGATTCCCCCGGAACCGATGCAAAACACATATGATTCTGACCCAATGTCCATCCAACCTGCGAATTCGTACTATCCCAGCCAAGCCGGTATTGGCACCCCCCCCTCCTCTGCAAGAGAAACTACGCGCGCACATTCATTAATCAAAAACCATATGTTTCCCAAACCCTTTTGCAAACAATGGGACGAAGTGCACACGCGCGCGTCGTCGCGCGCGCATGCCGAAATCCTTCGAAAACCTTCGGAATTCAAAATCGAATGACCAAACAAAAACATACATATCAAGCAAAACACGGCTTCGCAACACGGACTTTCAACAAAAGCGTGCGCGCGTGCACTTGCGAATGTGTAACAAAGTATAACGTGTTCAACATATCCATAAAATGCTACCAAACGGCCTTCGCGCGCGCGCATACCGAAATCGTTCGACCGCCCTTACGCACGCGCTGGGGCGGCACGATCCGTGTCAACCATGCGAGCCACTCTCGCGCGCCTGCCGCGCGCGAATTTCGAGTTCCTCCCAAAACCTTAATCTCCGACGCGCAGACGCCGTCATCGTCGTCGGCGTGATCAGCCTCGGCGCCCGCACTGGCCGCGCCGTCGTCTTTGTCGGCATCGCCACCAGCATCGCTACTATCATCATCGCTTCTACCGTTGTCGACGTTGCCATGATACCGCGCCCGCCCAAGTTGCCGACTCGCACTGAAGTGCCCGCTGGGATGCGCCGAGCGGTCACCGGCACCGCGTTCGCGCCGGTCGCGCCAAGCTAGCTGGCCGCTGCGCGCGCGCGAGCATGCGCGGGCTAGCGCGGCCGCAGAGATACACCAGCCAACACCCAGCACCCATCGCAATCACTCCCGCATGGGTTTTGCAATCCAAGTTGCGGGTGGACGGGTGGGATGATTGCGCGAGCAGTGGAGTTGACAACTTCAAGTTCGACAAGTGAATTCTCCTTTCAATAAAGATAATGGACTCTACCCCCCTTGGCGTTATCCGCCCCCATTTCGGGTATGTAAAATCATACATGATTCTGACCACATGTCCATCCGAAATATGAATTTACACTATCCCAGGGGGGCCGGGATGGCTACCCCTAAGGGTCCCTTGTAAAAAAACGATACGCGGGGACATCTTTTGTTCTAACATAAGACTTGTCCGAGAATCCCTTGCAAAAAAAGCGGAACGAAGTGCACACGCGCGCGTCGTCGCGCGCGCATGCCGAAATCGTTCAATAATCTTCGGTGTCGGAAGGATTTTGCAATCGAGCTTCCACCCCAAAAAAAAAAGGTTTCGCAACACTGATTTGCTAAAAAAGCTGACGCGCGAAGTTTTTCACAAAATGCTACCAAACGGGCTTCGCGCGCGCATGTCGAAATCTGTCGAACGCCCTTGCGCGTGTGCCGTCGCGAGAATCCTCTGCAAAAACATAGGACGAAGTGCAGACGCGCGCGTCGTCGCGCGCGTATGCC